AAAAAAAAAAAAAAAAAAATACTCCTAAACAATTTCAAAATGATGTTTTTTTTTTTTTTTTTTTTTTTTTGCATCAAGCAAGAAAAAGATACAGCCTAAAAGGGAATAATATCTAGACTTTTCAGTTTATTCAGGATTTAAATCCTCTCTGTTTTTCCTACTCTCATATACCAATCACTAGTTCTTGTAGTTCAGAGCAGAAGTAGATTTCAGAAACCAGGTTTTGAATACTGGGAACGTATTTACGGCACCTAACTTCGATTGAAACAAATGGAGGTAGGAATTGAAATAAACGAACATCTCGCATTCAAACAAAATCAAAATGCGGGCAAACCTTTAGGTGCCATTGCTGAAGATCCTGGACCAGAATAATCAACCTGGTCACACAAGAAACAATTAAAAGGAGAAGAAAACCCAAAAGCAGGAAGGAAGAAAGAGGCAACTATTAGCAGCAATGGCAAGAAGGACCAAGATTCATACCTTCGAAGAGAGTGATGGTGAGACGGAGGTTGCAGCCGAATTAGGGTTTCTAAAAGGGAGATATTAGATACGGCCTTTGATGGTCGATTTTGAAACTGGGCCTGACCTTTTGTTCTTGAAACTTTGGTCTTGGCCCAAGAATGTCGAAAGCAATCAAATTTTCCAGCCCACGTGAGTATTTAAACCCAATAAATTAAATTACCAATTTAATCCAAATTTAGTTTTAAAATTTTAAATATATTTTTTTAATGTTCACCCATCTACTCTACACAAAATATTTCATTCCATATAATATTTAAGTTTAATAAATCAAATAAATTTTAAAATTTTTAAACCTTTTAACTAAAAAAAAAATAAACTTGACACAAAATAAAATATTTGAGATTATATTAACTTTAAAAAATTAAAAGACTAAATAAACACAAACTTAAAAATTTATAATCTTTAGTATAATTATTCAAATTTTGACTTTACCAAACAAATGAAATTCTTAATATTAAAGTAATGACGTTTTCAAATATAAAATATATTAAAATTGTACTTTTATTAAAAATATTAAACTTAATTAATCCATGAAATATGATTTTATTTTTAATATAAACTTAAAATTGTATTTTTGTCTTTTTACACTACTTCACTGTGAAATTGTGATTGGGTTTTTGAGTTATTATTTTTTTAATTATTTAAAAAAACAATAATTATATATAATAAATTAATAATTAAAATTTTATAAAAACATAAATATCAAATATTAACGAGTTAGAATATCTTATTATAAATATCAAATCTTTTTAATTTCATAATAATTTAAAAGGGTATATGAGTTGAATAAATCTTACAAATAATTAAAAAAAAATGTCAAGACTCTATTATTAAGTTGAATATAAATGTCTAAAAACAAATTAAATTTTATTTAAATTTCCAACTAAATTATTTAAAATAGGAATGGGTAAGGTCACTCTTTTAGAGTATCAAAACTCAAGAAACAAAAATCAGAGTTAAATAGAAAAAAAAAATTAACATTTTCGAATGATATATTAATAACTAAAATTCATAAACTTAAAATATCAAATAACATCAAAAACTATGAAATCAAACATAACAATCGTGATAATAAAATCATATCATCTTCTTTCCAAGGAAAACATATGTTATTTGAATATATTAAAATCGTACGATAATTCACACTTAATTAAAATGAATACAAAAATAGAAAAGAAAAACATTGATTCATAGTAACTCTTTTTATCATAAGCTGTAATAAACAAAGCCATAGAGAATAAGTTACCTGATCGGCATTCAAAGTGACGAGTTCTTCCTCCAAAGCATCCATGTCTTTGATCTTAAACTTGTTCAACAAAGTAACGCAAGAGATAGTGGACATTGGCATCACCCTCAAACTAATTGTGTTTTCAATCGGTGGCTCAACATAATTAAGCTGTTTGCTCATGTACTTAGAACAGCCAGGACAGACGGCGTAAGGACCATCGGAGAAGTTCGAGCGGCACCGGCTATTATAACCAAAATTCATATTACTACAAAAATAAGCTGTTGGCAAAGGTGGTGGATGAGTGTAAGGCAAGAGCATAGTGGAGGTACAAAATGAGACGACATGGGGCATCAAAAGGGTGTCTCTATTCAGCCCATTTGCCTGACAATAAGTTTGGTCCAAAGTTAGGACGCTTTTTTATAGATTATCCAAACAACCGACCATGCCTTGATCTTGGAGAAGCTTGCATGTAGTTTCAAGAGGGAGGGAGAGTAGATGGAAGAGAAAGTATATCCCGTTCTTGTCTGCTTCACCAAATACAACTCTGTTACGTTTTGTGTCTATCGGAAGCTGAAATGTCACACCCTTTGGCGCCATTGAAGGAAATGGTAATAGTTTAGTGTTGATGCCTTTGTCCACCGACGTATTTATAAAGCTTTCATGAAATGTAATAAGTGTTATGTATGCAACGAATTTTGGTCGGTCCTTTTGGATTCCTCGCCATTTCTATTTCCATTGCGCAGAGTCTGACTTTTACTTATTATTGAGGTTGAATGCAAACACATACAATCATGAGTGAGACCTTTAATATCAATCTATATTCCCTTAGACGACTATCTTAAGTGAGTAATTAGATGTGTATTTATTGTTCTACACACGATCCATACGTGCAAGTATAGACCCACCAGTCGGTTTGCACACCTCATGAGCCCCTTTCTTGGTCGAAATAGCATTCTCTAGAGCTGTTGTCGGATACCCACCCGTTAGGAATAACGACTTGTCGTAACATTATAATAACTATAATAATAATTTTTCTGCCTCGTAACATATGCGTCTGTACCATCATAAAAAGAGAAGTATTCCTTGATGGATGGACTTCACTTTTTCTTCTATCATATCATTTTTACCATACCTTTCCATGCATATATCGGAGTTATGCATGTGCCAAAACATCATATTGCATGTCAATCATATTATATATCTTATCATATCAAACATTTGTCTTAACATAAACATATCATATTATGCACACATCATATCATAAATCGTGTCACAACATACATCATATCGTTAATCATATTACATCATAATTTATATCATGTTACTCACACATATCATATCACTTACATGTCGTCAGGCATATCATATCGTAAACATATTATTTCATAACCTTTCAAACCACGGGACACGTGTCATCATACAACATACAAGTTCTAACTGAACCGATAGTTATTTCACTATGCTTTTGAATTCGTCCTCCAAAGTTGCTCCAAATATCATAAGAAGTTATTTCCCATTAGACCGTTCATCTCCCTTCCTTACTAATTCACTAAAAAAATTAACTATCAGAAGGGTATTTATATTGTTGAATATACGAGAAATAATTGTAAAAATACCAGAGGATTGTGGAAAGTTGATCCTGGAAAAAAACAAGTCGCTCAGGACGGAGGTTGATTGTAGAGAAGTCCTTGGCAGATTCAAGCACTACAAAACCCAACATAACTTAAACAAAAATTCAAATGGTTATGAAACGAAGAGAGAAATATAAGCAACAAAAATGTGGGATCACATACGTCATTCACGTCCATATCGTAACCTCCTCGCCAAGCTGCCTAACATTCTCCAAATTTAGCTCATCAAACATGGTGTAACAGTAAGATCATCCATCACAATGTACGTAACAGTATCCCCTTTCAAAAAATCTCCCACAATGGGTCGTGCCTCATTAGGTTCGTACACATATGATGCAGGGCTAGCCATCTTACAGTGGCATTTGGGACATCGAATATTATATGTAGCACTAAAACTATAACGACAGTAAGTACTATTAGAACATGTATAATAGGTCTTTGGTCCTGAAGAAGGATAGTTTTGCAAGAGTCTTACGATCTGGGATTGAGTAATGGGCGTTGGGAGGTCGGCCTTTAACTGCTTTTGGTTATAATATGTAATGTTCAAGGCCTCCACTTGCTGCGGTAGAGACTTCCAAGGGAACCAACCATGGGGCTGCTTTGGTTTGATACTTGGTTTCTGTTTCGAATTTCTCAAGTTTTAAAGGATCCCCTCTTCCATTCCTGAACTAAATATACTGTTCTCATTGGTTCTTTGTTTGACGCTTCGATTACAGAGATTCTGAATATGGATGGGGAGATAGGTATGATGATGCATGCAACCCTTCATTATTTCTTTTTTCGCCCCTGTTGTACTGTAAAATCATTAAATATGAAAAATAAATGCTTTGAATTTTCATTTGGCCCCTCCCCAAGGTTCAAGTTTTCACTGTCTAAACTTAGGGGGAGAGATGTGAAGAAATTCAGACTCTCAGTAAAAGATCATGATCTCCTTGAACAACCATATGAACATTTTCGGTCTAATTGATCTACAATTGTCAAGTAAAGTTGATATCATGAGAAACTATATGTCTAACCATCGCTTGTCTAAATCAAACGAGTCATTTGTAAGGTTGGTTGCAAAAGGCAGATGATAGTATTGAACGCCTAGAAGCAATATTGGTTGCAAAAGGACCATATTAAAACTTATGGGACAACACAGACATATTCATATTCACCTATAGCAAAGATATATACTATATACCGGAATAAAGGAGGAGGACGTGAATGAGTTCGAATGAGAGTGAAAGTTAAGAAATGTGTAAATAGGATTTGTTGTGAACCTCGGTACCCGATTGTCAGGTTTCCATTCATAGACATTCAACATAGCTTCAGATTGAGAGAAGAGAAAGGAAGCCAAGGAGTTAAAGAAAGATTTGATTGATCCTATTAAGAAGCCAAAAGTCAATAACATATGCAGGGCAAGGGCCTTTAAGCAAACTGTTTACAAGATCAAATATGAATTACGGGGAGGGGTGGGTGTTACAGCTCTGTACAACTTGTTTAAGGCTTTTGCTATAAACGACTTGGATTTTCAAACGTCTCCTGCAAACACAGCAACCAATGTCCAAAAATCAATCAGAACTCAGCTTCTCATGGACTCATCAGAAGGCTAACATAATAGAATGATCTAACTTAAAAGGGCTCATTTAGACACTAAGTGTTTTGTGAAGGCTCTTTTATTGGCTAGTTCTTGTTTTTGTTGCCCTCTTTTGTAATGTCGACCGACTAACATGACACTCGGCAGGATTAGATTAGTTTATCTCCAAATTATGCGACCTTATCAACAGACTACATGATTAATTCATCCTTAATCAAGCCAACCCTCCAAAAATTAACAAGGGATAGTCCCATCATTGAAGTGCATGGCCCGACCCAATAGAAAGCCATTAAAAACTATAGAAAGCAGTAAAAGAAAAACAAAGTGAGAACAAGGCTAGGATTGCAGCAGCAGAGAATCAAAATAGTGAAACAATGTCCAGCATGCTTACCTCACTCGTTTTCTTTCGTTAAATGACTAAGTTGCATGGCTTGCTAAGCCAGCTCGACAAACAAATAATCTTCGTTACCAAATCAAGGGAATGCATCTTAGCAGCGGGGCTACAAAAGACTCAATCGTGCAAGAAATTCCTCTGTTTCTTCGCCTTCTTTAACGATCTGCTTTCACAAGAAATTTATAGGGAAGATCAAAACATACATCATATAATGGGGAAATGGATAAAAAAGAACAAAGGCATAAACCCATAACCTGTTGGGGAAAATTAAGCTACAAAGAACAATTCATTGTCACTACTATTTAGATGGTGCCTTGAACAACTCCAGGCCATTTCTATTTCCATGAAGAATATATTTTCAAGAATTAGACACAGAAATATTGTGGGTGAATTAGGGAGAAAAACAGCCGATGAATATATGCACCACACCCATAAAGTTTTGGCATTTGAAGATTTAGAGCAATAAAACAATATTGTTCCCTCCTTCCTAGATTAACAGCAGAAGTTCAAAAAAGAATCAGTAATCCAAGTATCATAGTAAAACAAAAGGATAAGGTCCGAAGTACCTTAATTTCTGTATTTTCTGGCAGACCTATTTCAGTAAGCACATATTGGCCAACTTTAACCCAGTCTATCTTTTCTAGATCAACCAAGTCTTTGTCCCTCTTTACTTGAATCGGAGATAAATCATGGTCAAAAGAATTTCCTACCCAAACATACAGCATCATGTCATCCTTCTTGCCTAAATACCTACTTGGAGAGAAAATCACTACAGCAGCTTTAGAATGGAGGTAACTTGTGTCAAAAGCTGCAATCTTTGCTAACTCCGGCCAACAGTATACCATTGGTTGGACAAACTCACCATCTTGCTTCCCATTTGACACAGTGGATACCATGCCTTCTTCAAAATGTTTTGGATAGCTTTTCCATGAACCAGCCGATTGTCCAGCAACTTCAGTTTCGTCCTGGCTCATGGCCACGCAACCTACCCGTACATCCATTCCATTTTCGATATTCTTGAAATTCTCAGTGGAACTTGTTTGTTCATCTTCAACATTATCCATAGGCTCTGAGCCCTTTTTCATATTAAATGATGCATTAAGAGAGCAAGAAATCTTGTTTTTCCTCTTACCATCTTCTTGAGTGGCAAGAAACCTTGAGGCACTATTTGTTGCTCTGATTTTACAAGGCATTGTAGGCAATGTCAGAGATTTTGCACTACCTCGGCGTTCTGCAAGAGAAGGTGAGAACTTTTTGGATGGGAATGAGAATGACCGAGAACTTGATTCCAAAGGGACTGCATCACGAGTTTCTGGACCATTGGGCATCGATTCTAAGGAACTATTGGATGAGATAAGATGCATGTTAGAAAAACTAGATAGAGTTGAAGAAACTTGAACTGTAGGTGAAGAAGCAGAAGGAGAATCTAAAGAGGATTCTGAAAAATACTTGGTACTTGAACTTGAACTTGAACTTGAATCAGAAGAAAGGGAGTCTGGCGAAAGATGGATAGGCGAAGAAGATGACGAAGACAAAGAAATTACTGAAGGCGATGAAGGTTTTGCAGAAAAATGCACCATCATCAACGAGTCGGAATAGACCCTAGAGAGCGATATCCGGGGAGCTGATACAAACTCTCTCATATTTCCAGAGGCAAACTTACGCCTAAGCATACTCCAACTGCTTTCTCTGACAGGAAGATGGGTTTCATGCTCATTCTCAGATGAAGGAAATGGAGGAACGAAACCACCAGTAATAGCCTTCTGGAAAATTTCAAAATCTAAATCATAGGAATCAACTCTCCTCTCCCCTGGATAAGGCTTATCTCTTAATTCCCCAAGATTAATTTTACTGTTAGATTTATCCATTAACGGTAACAGGTTTGCAAAAGAGTCCCAAAAGTTGGCTGGTTCTTCCCCTTCTTTAATTACATAAATAGGCCCTTGCACCTTCTCATATCGAACGATTTGCACAACAGCTCCCCTCGCATCTCTTTCCATGATTGCTTCACAGTTCTTACCAATCCAAACAAATATGGCAGAGGGTACATGAATGATAAATGCACCTCTAGAATCCAGAGATGAGGTAGAAGGATCATTTAACATTTTGGGGACCAAATGCAAAGGATCATATGGCGAGTGTGGAGCAACTCTGTACATCCTCAACAGTGAACTTGGGCTAAGAGGGAAAGCATGGACCCTCTTTTGGCATTGTAATAACTGGCAAGCAAAACCCATATTGGGGTCAGCAATACCTCTTGCAGCCTTTACATATTGAAATGCATCATCAAAACTCTGCCCTTCTCTCCACATCAGATAGGCAATCACCAACGACGTCGACCGTGATACTCCCTGGCAACAATGAACAAAAACCCTTCCATTTTGTTCTCTAACATCTTCAAAGTAGTCAAAAACATCATAAAGTATACTGGTAATATCCTCAGAAGGGCTATCCTGCAACCACAAAGTTCTGTACACGAAATCATCTTTGAAGTACTCAGGGCAAACGAAACCTACACAATTCAACACATGAGTAATTCCATTCTGTTTAAGTATATCCCTATCTCGAGCAACCGCATCACCACCAAGATATACATGTTCAGCCACCTTTGAACACTCTTTGTCAAAGAAAGCAATCTTATCCCTCTTCACCAGCCCACAATTCTTATCCGGGTTTCTCTGAATTGTCGACAAATCAAGTTTCAACCTCTCGCAATTTCCTCGGCCACTTGGTGTAGGAGGCTGCGGCCACTCACCAATGTCATCCGATCCCGCCTTCGGCCATTCATCTAAGCTTCGCCGAGCTATGGACAAAGGTTGTAAAGGAGGCAAACACGACCTCGCTTTGCAATGCTGCTGCGACCTTGGAGTTAATGGGGCAGGGAAAATTCGGCTTGGTCCACTGCTATCACCAAGATTCCCATTGGAGTCTCCACCTTCTCTGTTCTCTTCCGGATGGTGAAGGGAGGAACGTGATGCAGACCACGAGGCCGAGCGCCAGAACAATTTCCGATTGCCAGAGAGCTGCACCGCGGCCCCTGAAGTACCAGAGTCCTCAGAGCCTACCATGCCCGTCCAAAATCCGCAGACAATAACTCAAAGAAGCCCAAGAAAGTATAGAAACCCTAATTTAACCTCTTTCACCCGGACAAAAGAATGAACATATTGCGCTGAAATCATATAAACAGATATCGAACAGTCAGACCCATATCAGATCAACATCAATAACATCAACCAAAGGGCAGTAACAAAAAAGTAGTCAAAGAAAACACTTCGAAGAACTAAATTAAGTAATGCCCACGATTTATTTCATAGTTCCCAGATGAAATAAAAAAGAACCCAGAAACCAAATTGCAAGAATTAAAGAACAACAAAGAGACAACAAATCTCAAACTCTAACTACACACAACTCCTCGATAATCTACAAAAGAAAAGTCAGAGCAACGACTTTGAAAAAGAGAAAGCAATTTAGAGTGCTTGATTTCTAGGGTTTGCAATGAAATCAAAGAGAAAAGAGATGAAGTGTTTAGATTTGCAACTTACAAAATCAAATGAAAGAGGAGGTGCAGTGGAGTGGGTAAGTGAGTGACTGAAAGAGATAGTGAGAGCAGAGCATAGAAGTTTTAGTATAATCTGAGAGAGAATTAGAGAGAGACTGGCTGTGGAGAGGAAAGAGGAGCACACGGAGAGAAATTTGCATTTAGCCAGATTTCAATGTCTGGGCCCTTTCACATTTAAACAAAAATTCTTAATTCCCATTTCAGAACCGCCCTAGAATGCAAGCAAAAAATAAATAAATAACTAAATCATAGTGAAAATGGGTTCTTTTAAGCCGAACGTTCTTTGTCACTCAACTCAATCAAATTCTCACGTCCAACTCAACAAAACAAAAACAAGAACAGATCGTCTTCTCGTAATTTTAGTAATTTTATTAAAAAAAATTACAAAAAACGAGAGACTAAAATTATAATTTAGAAAATTTAATCATTGATATTTTGGCATTATTCAATCATTGCTTCTTCCTACTCATTTCTTCAACCATTCTCTTTGTATTTTATGGATTCATATCATAAAATATACAAAATCTTTATGTAAATAAATTTCTTATTTTAATTTATGGTTGAAAAATTCTCTCCACTTTCTTGATGAAGAAGATTAACCTCAGCTGACCAATAAGCTTTTAAAAGCATGTCAACTTTGGTTGTCTCATATGCCATTTGATTCATACACAAGACAAACCCAAAGGTCATACATGTAATTATCACTTCAAAATTTTAAGATCGATTCTTCGGCCGTATTGTATAGAGCGCTCAAGTGCCTTAGCTTATTACTAATAATAATAACATGGCTTGACATTTACTCCCTTTTTTTTAAGACCCAAGTTCAAATTCTCTTACTCTACTTATTGTACTAAAAAAATTGTAAATTTAACATAAATGGGATAGGTTCTACTTCTAACTTTCTCTGTACTTCTCGACTAAAATAATACTTTAAAAACATGTAGGGTGTCGCGGTTATACTTGTGACTTGTTCGTTGGGTTAAAATAAGTGTCGCACAATTTTTGTCCCACTATCACAAGAGTGCGAATGTGTCATAGAGCAGAAGATTAGAAATTTTGACCTTTTGATCAAAGACAATTGAATTATGTTCTCGTTAGCACGGGAATAGGGTCACTACCCTTATTTCACCAAAATCTTCTATTAGCACCAACAGTTTGTGTCATAAAGAGAGCCGTGTGGATTGGTTTAAACAGTTTTCCGAGTGAATTCCTTCAAGTTCAAGTAACTTGTGATTTGGATAGGACCATAATTTCTTTGTGGAGTGGGAAAAAGGGAAACTTCTTGTGGGACTAATAGAAAGACCAATTTTCAAATTTAGTCAGCAAAGTGTCCAGCCAACGTCAAGATTATGGCATGCCATTGATGTTGATGTGCCAACAACTACAAACCAAATCCAATAAATAATATCAAAACTATTCAAATCTAACTCTAAATTCACTAGGTTGTTTCAAACGTGAGTGTCCGAATGAACTTCATGTACACTTTCACTAATCGTACGAAATAGTCGATATACATTTAGGTAACTGGAAAATTTTGTTGGGTTCAAACTCACGGTTTCTATGCGAGATTCCATCAATTGGAGAGGGAAACAAAACATTTCTTACAAGGGCATTGAAACGTCTCTCTAATAGACTTGTTTTAAAACTGAAGCTGACGACGATACGTAACGAATTAAAACGGACAATATTTGCTAGCGGTGGACTTGAATTATTACATTCTAAATATGACTTGATAGGAAATGTTCTTGACCGAAGCAGCTTCAACTACTCCGCGCATGTTCAAGAGGCACCTGAAGTAACTCAAGCAAGGGAGATGGGATCAGTTCGGTACTAGCTCAAACATTGACTGATAGCGAAGCATACTGATCACTAAAGATGCATCGAGAACCATCCGCAATAGCCTTGGGACAAATCCTATCACGCAACCTATAGAAACAAATAGAAAGATACAGTAATTGATTATTATTTTTAAATGTGAGTTAAAGCATGTCTCATTAGCCCGACCCCTGAAATAATACCTATGCTTTAAAAAGATAAACCCTAGACTAATAATACGATAACTCCAAGAATCAATTGAGATTTATAATATCATTTAATTTATCCACATGATGCATAACCCAATATCCAATGCCATTGCGTGCATGCAATCATTAACCAAATCATTCTTACGTGCCTCATTAACCAATAAAATTGGAGAACAGAAACTAATAGTGGGAATACAGTATACAGTGAGGATATTGGAAAGATTGATGCGTTTCAGTTTTTAAACCTGAAGTAGCAAAGTTTTGAAATAATTATAATTAGGATTTTCGAGTACCGTTTATATATAGAAACGAAATTCTTTGCAACTATGGTTTGAAGGGACCGCGCGCACGCAGGTCCCCGCTAACACAAATTATGATGTAGGCTCCACCACATGGGCAGGCCTTAAGCCCAGCACCCCTCCTACGTGCAATGGAGGCCGCGGGCCTAGGAAATGGGCCTTAATGATCGTCCAGTATCCCCATCCAGGTAAGTGACTTTTATGGGTTTTCGCCAGTTAATTTATAGCCTCAGCCCTCCTTTCCTTCAGTGCTTCACCGATGTGGGACAACGACACCGCTTATTCAACGAATTAATCCCAATCCATTTATTTTGTCATAACTACATTACAATAATTTTTCAACTCGTTTCATTAGTTTCAGTGGTGATCTCATAGGAAAAATATAATTATATTGTATAACATCTACTTTGCTTCATTGTGAGGGAGAGCGTGACAATTCACGATAATCGATGAGGGAGAGAGAAAATGTCACGGTCATATAAGATAATAGTAAGTTGTGATCCCTATGTGCAGTCAATCAAAAGGCAACATGCAAGTGGTGCTTGATGCAATTGAGTACAATATATGATCCAACATGCTAAAAATAGTATACATGAAAGCGAAGCTTAGGCCTAGTTAAAATTAAAAGCAACAATGTGGTCACCAATATTAGAGACAAGCTCATAGAAATCAGATTCACGCCCCTCGCTATAACTTTAAAAGTCGAAATTTCAATATGAATTTCAACATGTAACTCTATAATTAAATTTGTATATACCTCACCATACTCATCTAGATAAGCATGTACTACCAAAAATAAATTCATCCAAATATTAATTGCCAACTTTTTATATTTCCGTAGAAATAAAAAAATTTAAGAAAATTTAATAGATTGAAGAATAAGTTTAGTATTTTTTAATATAACAAATTAAAATGTTTCTTATTAGAAAATAATAACAAATTATTTAGTATAAACTCGAAATTCATAAATTTAATTATAAAGGAGGTGTATATCTAAATAGATAAAAGTGTGAAATTGAAAGTGGTCCATCTACCTCGCTTCAGAAAGATAGACCATACAATATAATATTAATTCATACATGTATTATCCATTTCATCCATTACTTTTCCCATTGATATCAAGAAATAATCTAATTTAATGTCCATAATTTATCTGCAAGCTATAATTTACATTTTTAAACCATTAATTTATACATAATACTTGTTAAAAAAAAATAATAAAAGGTTATATTTTGTGTATTGAAAACAATGAGCTTAATTTTTTTATTTTATTTTTTTAACTTTTGCAATTATTTTATTACAATAAATTCAATCATTTAAAATACAACCGTTTAAATGTCAAAAGTTTTGACAAAGATCCTATAACGACATATTTAAAATTTTCAAAATAATAAACATAAATTGAAAATTTTAAACCTTTTATAGTAAAATTTAATCACTTTAATACATAAACATTTATAAATTTTCACAAATATAGTATAAAATTGACACTTAACCTATTTTATATATTGTTTAATTTCGAATAAATCGAGTCATATTGATATAATGTCTTATCGTCAATAAAACACAAATTCCTCCCGAATATTTTTTTAAAGGCTTTTGTAAGGTATTAGTAGAAGTCGCGGTCAAACGAGCATATTATACATATTAATATCACATCTTCTTTTATTTGCTTTTGTTTTTTTTAGATCTATTAATGTAGTTACTATAGTTTAAAACCCCCCAATTTTTTTTTTTAATTATTTCAACAGTTGCCATATATATTAGGATTTTTTTTGTTTGCATTAAATTATTATTTATCCAGCTATTTCAAACGTGTGCATACTTTTATGACTCATTTACTAAACATCAAAATAATGTATTAATTATTGAAACACATATAATTTTGTATTAATTGATTTATTAAACATATCAATAATATAATTTATCAAAATATTTATTCAAGTTTAAATTTTTAATTTTAGTTAAAATAAAATAATATCAACCATTTATGAAATTTATGCTTTTAAAAAAAAAGTTAGAATTTTTAATGGAAGTTGAGAATAATATGGATTATAAAATAAAATTTAATATTTAAAATATAAAGACAAAAAAGTCCTCATCAAAAGGATCCCGACCATGTGATGTAGACGCCACTACTCGGCTATTCCCACGGACCACATTTGATATGACTCTTATCCACTTGAATCACTACTGCTATCCACGTAACCAAACAGATTTTTTATTCCACAAATTGCCCCCACCCAAATCTCAGCCGCCTTTATTTATAATTTTAAAAATGTAAATATATATATATCCAGTGGAGCCAACGAGACCTCTCAATCCAACGACTCCAGTTAAGTTTCACCAATCCAACGAACCACAGAAATGAGGGTCCAAGAAGCTTCCATATACCTTAATAGCACTTTAAAAAAATTCTCTTATAAAAGATCTTTAGTCCCAAAAGGTAGGGGCAGTCGTGGGCCCACTCAGTTTTAATATTCTTGATCGATCCTGCGGCTCAGATCATTTTGCATCTCCAAGATTCAGTACGACAATTTTAGATGTTTTTTTTTTTTTGACAGAAATACTTTCCATTTGATTTTTTTTTTTAATTTATAGAATTATATTAGACATAAAATTAAAAATTAAAAAATTAAAATTTTTGAAATAATTAGTATAACGAAAAAAATTAATTGTTGAGGACTTTTATTATCGACAATATATTAGAGAAATTATAACACATTTTATATTCTAATATATTTTTTCTTTTATAATATGTATCACATTACTATTTCAATTATTGTTAATGTTTATTTCAAAAAAATATAATTTAATTTCATGTACTTTTGCATTAATTAAATTTTTTAAAAACACGTATATATAAAACAGTCGATTAATAATAATAATATAAATATTTTTTTCATTTGAGAAAATGTTAGGTTAATTTTTTAATTTAACATTATAAAAAAGGAAAATGAAAGCTTAGTCAAAGATGGTAATAATATTCTAGACGCAGAGCAGTGGAACCGTACACGTGGCATTTGATTTTGATTTTTTATTTTTGGAAATACAGTCACTTTATTGGTGCAGCCATATCGAACTACACAGTGAACGAACCGAAGTTCCATTTTGCCAAAATGCCCACAAATTCTCGTTAAATTTACCATTTGCACCACCAAAATTCCCCCCTTCTTCTTCTTCTTCTTCTTCTTCATTCCTCCATTGTTACTATTCTCGCATTTTCACTGATCTTAGAAATGGGACCGCCCGTTGTATCTGTAGAGAATGATGAGGAGAGCTCGCTGTTGCTCCAGTCCACCGCCGGCGACCTCTCATGGCGCTTGAACTTCGATGGCTTTCAGTTATCTCCAGAGCATAAGGAGAAGAAACCCTCTCGTGCTCTCCATGACTGCCTTGGGGTTTTGAGTAATTTCCATTCCCCTCTCTCTTCCTCCTCTTCTGCCGTTCCTTCTGTTGGCTGAATCACTTTTGTTCTTCTTTTTGTTAGCGATCCATGTTTGTTTTGTCAATATCGTATTCGATGGTCTGAGTGCCTTGTTCTTTACTGGAAATATTCCTTTTACATCTTGGGCTGTTGTTTTCTCTCTTTCTAATTTGCTTTTTAGCCTAGCTGCTGCATATATTCGTTTAATTTTGTTTTTGTGAAGAGTATTTATTCTTCTGCCACTTCGCCACTTCCTTTAATTTCTGACCGGAGATGGTGGGATTTTTCTTTTCATTCCATTTGTTTATTTCATGTATTTAATGAGCGATTGACCTATCCGTTCTTTGGATGAATTTAAAATTTGGAGAGGAGAATATGGATTCAAAGTTTCAAAGGCCTGAACTAGAAGCTGGAGAATTATTTATTTATTTTTGCTGCAATTGGATGTGGATGTTTTGTGGTTGATTGATTCTTACAGTAGAGTAACTGTCCCATATTTAAGATCTCCCGAGGCATTGATTGTGGAATAGAAAGTAGCAGCAGTTCCCAATATTTTGGGTTTCCACGTTTTGCTGGGTAGTTCATGGTCCTTGAAGTTGCAAGTTTGTTCGTGCATACGCTTTTTTGCCTTTGTAAAGCATGTGTATGTCTTCATGTATCTGTTTGTATGGCTAGATTTGAATTTGTAGTGGAAGAATGAAAGTAACGAACAAAAAAAATGTTGAAAACTTCATTCATCTTATTCTCAACACTTTTCTTGGTGAATTCAGCTCCTGAAGATTATATAGCTGAGTACTACCAGCAGCAGGTAGAAATGCTTGAGGGCTTTAATGAAATGGATGCGTTGGCTGATCGTGGTTATGTTCCTGGAATGTCAAAGGTTGATGTTGTTCTGTACTTCTATGCTTTCTTAATGATTAGGACATTCTTCGCTGCTCAAAACCAGAATATGGCTATGGTGGTTGCAGGAAGAACGTGAAAAGTTAGCTAAGAGTGAAACATTTGCAATCAGACTATCAAATGTTGCCAATTTGGTTCTGTTTGCAGCTAAAGTATATGCATCCATCAGAAGTGGTTCCCTTGCTATAATTGCTTCTACACTGGATTCACTTCTTGATCTTTTATCTGGTTTCATCCTATGGTTTACTGCATTTTCCATGCAAACACCAAACCCGTATCAGTATCCTATTGGCAAGAAACGTATGCAGCCTTTGGTCAGTTCTCTTGCAACTCCCTTTGTGTACTGTTTGACGTGGTGAAAAAAATGATCATATATAGATATAGATTTATTATACCCTGCCTGCAACTACCTCTTTGATCACTGGCTTGTAGTGAAATTTGTTTTCTCTTGTGTTTTTCTCCCAATATTGGGAATTTTAAAAATGATTTCATTTTTTGTTTTTCAATTTTGAAAATTGTGCTTGTTTCTTCTATATGTGATTTTCAACTCTCAAAGAAACATTTGGATTCTTATCCAAAAGTTCAATAACAAAAAAGTTCATAAAAAGTAGTTTTCAAAACTTGGCTTGGATTTTATTGATAAGCTTAATTTTAAAGGAAAAAGAAACGAAAATCCAAATGTTTATCAAACATGGCCATAGAAATTCCTTGATTTTGTTTTTTAAATTTCTTATCGCCTTAAAATTGGATTCTACTTTTTCTTCATATTTTCCTTGCGGATTATGAACTGCAGAACATGGGAAGCTTCTAAAGCTATATTTGTTTAAGAGCTATGCAATTTCACTTACTATGTGGCATGAAGGAAAAAA